TAACAGTGGTATTAGGAGACCCGGGGAATGAGTTGTCATGGAAACCTACAGACAGTTATAGCACGCATTCATTTGGACCCATAACTTTGAGGTCAGATTTTTTTGAACATCCGCGCTCATCACTTCTTTAAGTATCCTCTGTCCTTTCCTCAGATCTATGCAGGATTGTCTAACACCTACCATTCTATTTGCACCATCCTGCTCTGCTGTGAATAACACTTTGAGAACCATCTCATTCGTAACATGAGATTTTCCATTCATAACTTGGAATACTATTTTCAACCATGCTCGATATTTCCCTATCTTTTTCAACTTCGTATCATTTTTTTATATTTCCTGTAGACAATTCTTCAATCAATATTATGAAGCAAGTAGGGCAGGGCAGAGACCACCTTTCCCTACCTCTGTAAACCCCACGGTGCTCCATACACACTGGGTATCCAGCAAATATTTGAGTTGCCAACCAGCAGTCATTGGTTTTCTTTCGCTGGTACAGTGTTGATCTGGACAGTGCTTATGAGAAATTTGAATTAAAACCCAAAATTTAAGGCTAAACTTTTAAGATGACTAATACCTACATTTCTGGCTTCTTCTGCAAAACAGAACTATCTGGCAACACTGGATGTACATTCCCATATGGTAACAGTTGGCTGGTTCCACAGAGCAGCTGCCCCCATAGATGGGCTGGGCTCTCGGTTTCCCACAGTACACACATGTGTCCTCTGTGTGAGACAGTGTCAGTTGCTAATATTATCTCACTTGCTTATTTATGTTTCCTACCAAAGTGCTAAGAGGGAAGTGAAAATTTCTTGCATGCATATTTCTATCCAAGATGGAAAAACCAAAGCTAAGAGAGCCATCTGTTTTGAATCAAAAAATTATGCTGGACTCATTCCACCTATTGATTTATTGAATGTGTATTGAGTACCTACCTTGTGCAGGTGCTACTGTAGATGCTGGCAAGTAGGTTGGACAAAGGAGCGCAAGTGGCTGCTGCAGTCCAGGTTTCTTACCTGTCCCTTCTGGCCACTGTGGTTGTAAATCTTGGTTTATATGAATGAAGAAAGTTGCTGCAGTGTTAAAACCTGAAGCAGGAGTGGAAAGGACAAAAACTGAGAAGAGGCCAGTGGATTAACTGACTGGAAATGTGTCAGAGTAAAGACAGCAGAAGGGGAGGAGTAAGCAGGTGGTGAAATTGTAGGTACTCAGTTTTAGCATATAAAGGTGGGAGATGGGTGGAAGCATAATACTGGGGTAGCAAGGTCAGAGAATGCTCTGTCTATTTGATTTATGGGAAGGAGGAGGTGTGTATATGTTTGTAAACTGAGATAAGATACCATTGGAAAGGGACAGATTAAGGAGTTAAAAGGAAGTTTAACACTCTAAAATGCAAAAATTACTGTAGAATGGGATCTAAAGCAGCAGAGAAAGACTATAATACATTCTAGAAGGCAGAAAACAGTTGGAGGACCAGTAACTGGCTTAACAAATAGGAAAAGGCTGGAATTTAACTTTTATGTTAGAGAATGTTGGTGAGAGGTGACCTTGTCTACCCTACAGGACTTCTGAGAGACTCAATCAGGAGGAACCAGGCTTTGTAGAAGCTGGTGAGGTGTGTGTGTGTGTGTGTGTGTGTGTGTGTGTGTGTGTGTGTGTAGTGAACATGAGATCCCTAGGCCCCAGGTTATGTTCTTTATCATCCAACTAGACCAATGGTGGGAGACTTATTAGTTAGAGAAGTCTATCCAGAGATTTCTAGACTGGAAAATCTAGACAGAGGGTAGATAGAGGAGTCACAAAGGCAGCTATGAGGTGTGACACCAAAAATAGGGGTCAAAATTAAAATTATGTAGTTCACTAAGTGAATACCATTTACCTACCAAGTGGGAAATAGATTCCTCTCTGGATAAACCATGTGTCTCTAGAGAAGTAATCACTCTGTCTTAGTATCTGAGGGCCCCACAATGAAATGCACCTGCCCATCATGCCACTGAGAGACTGAATCTTGCTTGTGGACATGAGTCACCAGCATTTAAAGTGTTTACATCTATAGTTTCTGTCCTTCCTCTGCAATATGAATGAGCTATCACAGGTCACTGGAGAGCAGAGTACAGCATTTGTCGTGGAAGAGGGAATCAAATTGTCAGTATGAAAAACTAACCTGGATGGAGTAGAGATTTTCAAAGATGCAGAAAAAACATTAAAAGTCACAACCAACTGGTAAAGTCAAGCAGATTAAAAATATTAAATTCAGGGCATTGATTAAAATTCTAACTTTAGCGGGGCTGGGGATTTAGCTCAGTGGCAAAGCGCCTGCCTGGCAAGCGCAAGGTCGTGAGTTCGGTTCCCGGTACCGGAGAAAAACCAAACCAAACAAAACAAAACAAACAAACAAACAAACAAATAAAATGCTAACTTTAGGATAAACAAAACAAAATCTTGGAGATACACATCTATATATCATACATACAAATATATCATATATCACATCATGATATATATATATCATATATACATATAATCTTGGAAATATACATCTATATATCTATATCATATATACATCTATATTTTTATTATATAATATTACATTACTATATGAATATACATTAGACATTATTGTATTATATAATATGATACATTATTTATCTATTATATATATATACATATATCAAAAATTAACTAATGTTGAGTACAAGGATTGGAAAATCAGAGGACTATCCCAAAAAAGTAGAATAAAGTTATAAAGAAATATGTGAGAAAAGGCAAGAACACGAGGTAGTTAATTAAATAGTTATCTTAAAAAATGAGTTCCTGAAAAGAGAGATAAGAGAAAATAACACAGAGAAAACAACAAAGTAGTTTAGCAAGAACATGCCATGTTCACAGACGTGTGCAGAACAGTAATTGAAAGAATAATGCCCAGCCATAATAGCATTGTCGAATTCCAGAACACATAAGATAAAATTTGGATCCTAACAGTTCCAAAATGGCAAGAACAGGCAGGACGTTGGAAGACAAATGCAGCTGCTGCTATGGTGGCAGCATGAGGTGGGGGAGCTGCTGTGGGGCCTGAAAATCCCTTTGAAAATAGTTTTGCTGTCACTAACGCTCAGAATTTCCTTTTGGAAGTGTATGTTTTGCATCATCCCTCACCCCATGTGCGCCCACCCTTCAGGCTTATAGCTAGTCCCAAAGAGAAATGCCAGGCATCAAATCCTGGATTTTATTTTGCTTGCATAAGGGATATCATTGAAATCAATGTTGGAATTGTTACTATGACTTATTTTGATACTGTTGACATTTCAGAGAAAAATCTCATTTTTGACACTATCGCTTTGATGGAATTGATGAAAAGTTATTTGCTGCTCACCTGTTTACCTGAGAAGTGATCATGCAGTTGCAGTAAAGTTTGCTGTTTCTCTTTTTAATAAATCCCCTAGGAAGAAGGTAGAACTAGCATGCATCTAGGTATATTTATACACATCCATATGCCCTTAGAAAGTTGAAAATACTGCAAGTCAAAAAATGTATTTAATATGCGTAATCCCCCACACATCAGTTTAGCCACTCAGTAACTGCAGAGTGTCCTTTGTTTACTCTCCTAATCGTGAGCTGCCTGGGAGCTGTGGCTTTCTCCTGCAACCCAGTCTCGCAATAGAGTAGAGTTTATCACTATCTCTAGCTCAGAAAAGATCAAAATTCAGAGTAGTACAGTTTCTACTGAGTGCATATCACTTTCACGCCACTGTAAAGCCACCTCTTTCTCTCGCTCGCTCTCTGTCTGTCTCTCACACACATACATGCCACACTTTAAGCAAGTAATTAAATAAGAACTTGAGATATGTACAATTTTTTCATATTTCTTCCTGATTTCTGTATCACATGTGACTTTGCCTTTGACACAAAGGATAAAAAGAAAATTTCAGCATTCTCCATGTCAGTTTCAATAGTTGTGTGTTAGTTTCAGTGGAGTTGAGTGTCAGATTCAAAGTTAATGATTACCATCTCAATTGATGGTATTTTATTATATTTAACAGCTTCTGGCTATGTTTGTTCTCAAAGAGATTCTTACATGGGTGTTTTTTTTTACTAAAAGCAGAGTTTCTTCTTTACAGAGTTTTTACATTCAGTTATAATAAATTTAAAAGTCAGTTTGAATAAACATTTTTTCATTTTCTAATGAATGAAAGTTAAATTACAGGTTTGTTCACTGTGAATTTTTTTCCTCCATGTTTTTGGTGAGACTGGCATTTTGCAACAAGATTGAGGTAGGAGGATATTTCTATTGGCTCTTGGATTCTCTCATCTAACTTAAAGTTTTCTGTAGGAATGAAAAGTAAAGATAAATCTCCTTGCTGTATTTAGTGTCATCTTAAATCAGTACTAACAGGTCAGTGTTAGGAACTTACTTGCAAGTTTTAACATCATAAAACTTCTTTGCAAATTATGCATTTATCATCAGTGTTCTTTGAAATTCCCTGTACTGCTCTCTACCAGTAAAATCATGAAGAATTATGTATATCCTTGATAAATTCTTACTGCTTGTCAGACTGTGGTGAATTCTAAGATCTTTTTCCACTGTTGAAACATTTTCAATAAGAGAATATCACAACTGAATATTGTGGTCTATCTATTTGTCTTTGTGTACCCCAAACTTCAGCCCACCATATCAGAAGGTTAAAAACAGAAAGAGAATGAGAACAGACATGGCCAGGGATCTAGTTCAACAGCATAAGCGCTTGGCTTGCCTGGCAAGCCCAAGGTCCTGAGTTCGATTCCTAGTACCAAAAAAAAACCAAAACCAAACCAAAACAAAAGGAGAACAGACATGGATACTTTCATATTTCCAGTAGGTAAACTACTGTCAAAATGAATAATAAATTATAAGCTAATGATAATAAATATGATGGAGATACCATGCTACAAGGAACTTCAGATCTAGATTCTCTTTTGTTGCCACCCTTAGTGTTCCAGCGATAATCTTTTCTTTATTCCCACAGTCAGGTATTTCCAAAAGGTCTGCCAGAGGAATTCTCCATAGCAGCCGTGTTTCGTGTACGAAGAAACACCAAGAAAGAACGGTGGATTCTGTGGCAGGTTTTGAACCAGCAGAATTTACCTCAGGTGAGAAACCACCAGAGCTGGGCTTATCCATTCCCTTCGTGTGACTAGGCCAGAGGAGTATACGAACTGTGTGCTCAAATTTGGGAGTTGATCTAGTAGCCAAATATTCTATTTTTTAGATAAATTATCAACAGGGAAATGCAAGTGTTAAAATTAAGATGATCTTGCTGAGATCTGTGAGAATCTGGTGGATGAGCTGCTTACTTTTTTTTCTTAACTTCATGATTTATATTTTGTCTGAAGAGCTTGTATTTCATTCACTATCTTCACCTCACTAGCAGATTTTTCACCTCTTATCAACTTTGATATTATATATTATTTTTAGAGAGGTTCATTGTTCCATTTGATAACCCTTGGTCAATTAAGAGGTGAGACTTAAATATTATATCAATAAAAAACTGTGAGACAAGATAAGAGATTTATAGAATAGAACCATTCTTAAGGAACATAAAGTGCAAAGGGAAGACATTTTTAGTAGAACAATATAACAACACCATAATGTAGAGGAAAGTTGGGCATTGGGTGGGGACGGTAAGAACATAGGCTAGCCCATCAAAACTATGAGACAGAGAGAAAGAATCCAGGGAAGTGGGAGATAATGGCATTTGGATTGAAAAGAGGGCATGTGGATACCTCAAGGATCTCCAGATTACTTATTAACATCATGCATTTGCCTTTATTTTTATACCTTTTCATTGAAATATTCTTAATGTTGCCGATTATTTTATCTGTTCACACAATCACAATTTTATGTCAGGAAGATGAATTGAACTAAAAGTGCATGTCAAATACATTTTCTTTGTGTGTAAATCATCAAAGGTCAAAGAAGTTGATCTCAGTTCCATGCAAGAAGAAAGATTTTCTTATTTTAAATTACTAACCTTGAATTATTCTTTTATTTTATCCTGTTTATTTATTTTTTGAGACAGAGTCTCACTATGAGTTCAGGCTGGTCTTGAACTCACTTATGTGGCCCAGAGTGGCCTCAAATTCACAGAAGTCCTTCCTCCTCAGCCTCCTGAGTGCTGGGATTACAGGTGTGCACCACCACACCCAGCTGTAACCTTGCAAACTTGAACTACTCTTACAGAACAATAATTTATCAATAAACTTACATTTTGTATACAAAATAATATACACAGTATGACTTAAAGTTATAAAATTCATATCATATTTTTATAATTTATTAATCTAAAAAATGTAACAAGTTACATGAGTAATTGTAAAATTATGCAAACTAATTAAATGTAGTCTATATACACATGCATACTCTTAGATCTTCTCTCAGGTAGGATTGTATTACATTCATCAGAAAAACCCATATCTAAAAGACCTTATGCAGCTGGGGGTTAGTTATTCTTTCATGTTAGCAAATACAAGTGTTATCTAAAATATTGTATTAATGTTTCAGTTGTATGATCATGCATCTTAGGCTTATATTAGGGACTTTAATAATTTTGCATATACATTCTTAAACAGTTTAAACATTGAAAGATAACTTATATTTTTGCAGATTTCCATAGTAGTTGATGGCACAAAGAAGGTTGTGGAATTTATGTTCCAAGCTTCCGAGGGAGATGTGTTGAACTACATTTTTAAAAATCGAGAACTCCGCCTTCTGTTTGATCGTCAGTGGCATAAACTCGGCATTGGCATACGATCTCGGGCCATTTCACTCTACATGGACTGTAGTTTAATTGCAAGTCGGCAGACCGAACAGAAGGACCATGTTGATTTTCAGGGAAGGACAGTTATTACTGCTCGAGCTTCTGATGGAAAGCCTGTGGACGTAAGTTTTGACTGCAGTTTTTAAAGAGAGCCTGTGCCATCCCTAAACTTCTTTCTTCATTTTAATTTTTCCCCAACGATGCCCTTCTTGTCACTGTTTAATTTGCCCTCAGATGTATGAAGGATAGTTGTTCATTTCCAAAGATATTTTCACATATATTACCATCTCTATTTTCACCATTTTCTGTAGTCAGTACATTGAAAAGAATTTGGTCATGTCTTTAAAAATAAGATTATTAGAAGTAAATTTCAGTAAAGACTGAAAATACAATGCAAAATGTAAGTGCATATGTTGGTCTAAGTGCATATGTTTTGAATAAAAGGACTGGAAAAAGATGAACTTTCAATTAAATGATTCCAGATTATCTGGTGTTTTCATTCAAGAACAATACACTATTTTATTCTTCCTCACAATAGCAATTGCTTTGAATTTAGACTATTTTTTTAATTAACTGGGGTATTTGGGGTTCTATAGAAAGGAAATAAAGTCATTAAAATATATCAATGGTTCTTTAGATGAAGAAAATTGGTGAGGAAACTCTTGCAGATGAAAAGGTCCTTTAAAAATTACATTTGAATCTAAGATGGTATAGATTTATTATTGATTTCTGTAGAAAACAAGACCTATAGTCTTATGTAAGTGAGATATATCTAGTTTTGATGGCTACACATTTTCTTATGAGTGCAGTGATAGGAAAATCCCTAAAGCTCTGAGTGCAGATCGCCAAATAAAAGTGACATTTGTTTTTTTAAAAATGACCTAATATTTCAATTTATTCTTTTCTTCTATTTTTTTCAATTTAAAAATATCGCTTTGTGCAGATGTATATTTGGCCAACTTACTATCTCTAAATATATATATATATATATATATATATATATATATACATATTTTTAAGTAATTGTTTTTCGAAGTATTTTCTGTAGAGGGAGTGCATGAGAAAATCAGTGTAATATCATAGACAGGCCTCAGGGGCGACCAGCAAAATAGGTCCTAGCAGAAGCAGCACACACTGAGAACGAGACATCATTGGCATGGGGTAACCAAGCCAGCTTGGGCATCAGATGAGATCTTAAAACCTCGCTCAGCTGCTTAACTTGTTATCACCTGTGAATTTATCTGTGTAGGTGTTCGTTCATCTGCACCTGGGTATCTTCTCTTAACATAGAATTGGTCAAATTCCTAGTTACAATCATACAAGTTCTATGCCACAGTGAATAAAGAATGTGCGCTCAGTTCTCTGTACTTCATTTATCTACTCAGAACCAGACACTAGCATAAGAAAGTGGGATAAGAAAAAACACAAACTATTTCCATTCTCAAAAATCTCAAAGGCGAATGGAAGGATTAAAATCTGTCCATAAATGGCAGCTGCTAATAATAATAGTAGTAGTCATAATAACAACAGGACTACACAGACCTTTCAGAAAGGACTCTCTAAATGCCTCAGGAGGTAGCAGGAGCCCGCAGGGTAGTCTCTGAGCTGTGAGCTGGAACAGTAGGGGAAAGTAGGAAGGGACCAAGAGTTCTCCAGGGCTTCTCCCAACAGTTTGGGGGAGTGACGGTAGCATCTGTTTGGGACACCGGAGTTCAGGGTTGGAATCTGGACTCCTACAGGACTAATAAAAGTGAGGTGTTCTTTGGTTTCAGAGGACCTGGAAGAACTCAAAGGAATACTGAGCTAAGTTCACGGAAATAGGAGTGGCAGGAAGAAAGACATGAGTTATGCTAAAAGTGAGAACCAGCCTTGGAGCTTTACCTCTAAAGGGCTAATGTACCATGTCCTGTGTCTCATTTGCTTTTCAACAAATGAGAGTTGGCCCCAGACTTTCAGGCTGAAGAGTATCAGGCATGTCTTCATAAAAAGGGCATTGTGTAAAAATTATATACACTCTTATGATTCTGTCCTTTACTGTGGATTCTTAGTTCATTTGAGGATAAAATTGAAAGTATGTCATGAGAAAGTCACTGTTTGAATTAAATTATATATATATATTTAATCCTATTAAAACTTTAAGTCTATTAGTTTTTCATTATCTTCAAATATGTTCTGTAGAGTTACAGACCTGTTGTAGTGTGAGAATATTTTATTTATTGAGATGCATGTTATTGAAAAAAATCATTCTACTGATTAGATTTTATATTACATATTCTACCTGTGTGCTTTTTTGAGAAAGAGGTGACAAAACTGATACAAATTTTTTTGAAAGAAACAAATCTTCAGTTTGACATGAGTCAGTGCACTGTATCAATAAAGGATTCTAAGGTATCTATAATGAAAGCACAGGTAAACTAAACTGTAATTTCAGTAGGAGGAATACTCAATTTTAATTCTTCAAAAACTGATAATCTGTCATTAGCTAAATATAACAATTTACATGTAGGACCTAACACAGTAGGTGAATAGCACACAGTAAGGTTTCAATATTTTTAGCTATTTTAGTAATAATGATGATGATAAATTCTACTTAAGAACAATAATAATTAATTGGAATCTCCGTTCTTTATTCTACATAATTTATATGTTACTGTCAGTATTTATTAAAATATTTTAGACAATGTATTTAAACTTTACAAACAAAAATTAACCTCAATAATTTTGAAAAAAGTTACTAAAGAAAAATCATTAAATGTCACTTAATCTCAGAGATTTTCATTACAGTCCTCGCTAATCTTAGGTTGCTCATGAACCTGTAAGGTATTTGGAGCCCTAAAGGCTTTCCATGAACCAAATTAATGTTGTTTATTTTTGTGGAGAGTAAAAGTTATAGCTGTTTCTCCTTCCTCTGTGTGTGTGTATGTATGTATGTGAGTGTGTGTGTGTGCATATGTGTGTGTGTGTGTGTGTGTGCAGAGATTCACAGCTATTTGGACTTTCTATAGAAAGTATTTATTGATTAACCTCAAAGTAATTGTAGCTCTGTTACACTGAGTAAATAGAGACGGAGAAAGAGAAAAAGGGGGAGGGGAGAGAGATTCCTAAATTACGTTGTACATCAAATCATCATACAATTAATTAAACTCAAAAATTTGCAAACACAATCTAATTTCAAGGTTCCCCTCAGTATTTAGGTATAAAAAACATTATTTAATGCAGTTCAGTACCTAAGATGTTCAAATAGCCTATTTAAGCATTCATCACTTTGCTATTTTATTAAGAGTATTATTGACTTCTTCTTAGGGAGTTGTTTGATCTCTTTAAGACCATGTTTACACTTTCCTTGAACTACTTTTAATTTCATGTTAAAATGCCAAAAAATGTGAATCTGTTTAATTGCCTCAAAAAAGAGGTCTGAAAGTATAAAGTCCTTCAATCATATGCTGATTTTTTTTAATGCTCAGATCTTTGACTTCACTTTTTCTCCAGTTTTTAATGTTGAAATATCCTCGTTTTGTGTGCATACTTTATTGTGGTGCATAGCACTTCTTTTTAATTAAATACTTCTTTTTTCTTGTTTGAAACAGTTAAATTTTGCAAGTGTTTTCATTACCTGGTTTCCTTTATCTATAGTTCTGCCTCTGGCTCTATATTTACTTCCCAAGTGGTCCATAAAAACAAACCATAAATTATTTTTAAAAATTGAACTAATTGATGTTACCTTTCCTTTTTAAGTTAAGTTACTGTGTAAATACTATTCTCAAAAACTAATAATGTATTTTACTCTAATTTTTAACAGATTGAACTTCACCAACTTAAAATCTACTGTGATACAAACTTCATAGCTCAAGAAGCATGTTGTGAGATATCAGCTACTAAGGTAAATTAATTTTCTTGGCATGTGAAAATTAACTTATGCCAGTTATCTTTTAGTTGCATAATCTATAGCATCCAAGTGAAGGGCAATACTTCATGAAACCAGCTGAGTAATTTATTCTAAGTAAGGAAGCCTTTTTAGTGCTTTCCCATTGTTTCCAAATCTCTAATTCCAGAAGTTCAAGGTGAATTTTGGGGATCATATGTCCCTCACTTTGGACTAACTATAACTAGAAGAGAATTTATACCTTTCTCCTATGTTCTCTTTTGTTTTCTAGTAGCATCATTGCTTTCCACTTAGAGACATTTTAAACCTACGATCACACCTGATTGTCACTCATTTTCCTCACTGGCCTGTCTACCCTCTTGTCTCTAGTTTTCCATTGCAATACATTTTCATCCTCATCTTCCTTTTGGCTATGACTGCTGAAGTCCACTCTCAACCTCGTGCCTGGAATTTTGCATCACCATGTCCATTGCCTTTTCCACCTCCAGTCCTTCTTCTTAGCACCATAATAAACATATGTCTCAGAATCACTGCTTTATATATTCATTTACTTTCTTCCAGCAAGTATTTCTTCTTCAAAAACACTGATCTTCTGGTGTTTTTGATGTAAGGAATAGGGCTAAGAAACACAGATACATTCCCTATCTACTCACTTTTTCTCAAAGCTTTAGGTGACTCTCTCTTAGCAACAAAATATGAATCTAGTTCCTTAAACCTCTCCTTCTAAGTGTTCCCAGCCTAACTCTGCTGTTAAGCTTAATTGTCAATTTGATTGACTTGGGAACCAACTAGGGGATTAGTGAAGCACACTTCTGGCCATGTCTGGACTACATATGGCCCCTGGCCATTTCCTCTCTGGTGTTGTTCCCCTGCTCTGCTTTCTTGTGGCTGTGAACTAAACATCTTAGTTAATCCTTCTTCCGTGATGTTTCTGTCTTGGAACCAGCCTACCATGGAATGGATACCCTAAATCTTTAAGCCAAATTAAAGCTCTCTTTATTTAAATTGTGGACATCAATAATTTGTCCCAACAATGAGCAAGCTGACTAGTATAGATATTGATATCCAGGAGTGGGGTCATTGCTGTGACTATCCAGTACCTGACCACGTAGTTTAAAAGCCTTTCACAGTGGTAGTGGAAGGATTTTGGAACAGTTTGGAGATGTGGGCTAGAATGCTGCAAGCAGAGCTTAAGGGTGATTCTGATAGAAGCACAGAAGACCAGAATGCTGTTATGAATGCAATAAAGACCATGTTCAGGAGGGAACAAGAACTCTGTTGCGAATTAGATTTAAGACCATATATGTTACATTCTGGCAAAAACTGTGTCTACATCTTCTTTGTGTCCTTAGACTTTGCAGGAGACTGAGATTAAGGGCAGTAAGCTAATTTATAGAGGAAATTTCAGGGCAGCCCAACATTCAGACTGTGGCATGAGTATCATTGGTTACTTTTAGCCAGATGGACAATGAAAATTGGGAACAAAAAGGAAAGCAGAAAATATGAAAAACTTAAATTTTGATCCAAAAGGAACTATGTGTAAAGCTGGAGCAAAAGGAGGTATGATTTCTGAAGAGATTAGTGCCATTAAAAAGAAGGGGCAAGAGTGATAAAAAGAGATGCCTCAAGGAAGAAGAAATCAGGAAGAAATCAGCAAGACTCCACCAACAGCAGCCTCAAGGGTGCAAAGGTGTCATCCTCTCATTTGAGAAAAATCTCTGGGACTCTTGCTTCATAAGGTATCCATAGGAAATATGTTGCCTGAGATTAATTACACCATTCTCAGTCATCCAGGCACTCAGAGACCACTGCAGCCATGATCCAAGGGGCCCTGACTACTGCTCTCTGTGACCACAGACCTTGTCACTCTTCATGTGATTCTGGTTTTACTAGCATACAGACTATAAGAGTTATATAGTCATGGAAACTTCCACCCAGATTTCAAAAGAAAGTCTAGGAAGACAAGCAAAGTGCCCTGGAGAGGCAGGTGCATGAAGCTGTGTGAATAAAGCTGAAGGTACTGTGGAGAGCCCAGAAAGTTGATGATACCAGGAATATAGAAACCAGAAAAGCTACATACTGGAAACAAGTGAATCCAGCTTAAAAGGAAGGCCATTTGGACTGCAACAAAGCCATAGGGACGGGCCTGCACAAACCTTCTGAAACTCACATCTCACCACTGTTTGCCCCACATTCAAACGTGGAGGTATAGAATTTAATGTTCACCCAGCTGGTTTTGGTCTTGCTTTAGTCCTATTATTCTCTATTTTCCTTTTGGAATGTGAATATTTATCCTATGCCATTGTTACTGTGTAACTTGTTTTTGATTTTTAAAGAGGCTCACAGATAAGTGTTTGCCTTGAGTCTCAGAAGAGACTAGAACTTGGACTTCTGAAAAATTCTGGAACTGTTGAGACATTGGGGAAGGGATTTTTTTTGGTTGTACAAGAGATATTTGTATCATGTTAAGTGGAATTATTAATTTATTGCTTTTGGAGGTTATATACGTGGAGGTTATAGTTTAAGGAAGTATATTTGGGTATCAACTGCCAATGGAGGGAGTTTGATAATTTAAATTTAATTGTCAATTTGATTAAGTTGGGCAATTAATAAAGGATGGTTTTGGCTTTGTCTGGGTGGGCTATCAAAGCATGGCCTTGGGAACTATATATGGGCCCTGGCCCCTTCCTCTCTGGCACTGGTCCCCTGTTCTGCTTCCCGGTCACCATGCACTAAACAGCTTTGCTATGCCACACCCTTTCCACATGATGTTCCTGCCTTGGAGCTGGCTAACTATGGACTGAACCTTCTAAACTCATGA